AGCGGGCAGCCAGGCGGGGGGCGGTGGCGGTGTGCCTCTCCCCATCAGCTAGTCGTCTCGTCCCAACAACTCAGTCCCTCTGCGGCTTTTTAATGTAGGCGCTGACCTCCTGAAGGACTTGCAGGAAGGCCAGACCCTCATTCTGAGCATTATTTGAAATGCATACGCTCAAATGCAATTCGAAGTTTGAGACTAAGTAAATAGCTCATAAATATTTCTAAACTCCCGCCCTCTGCGGCTTTTTAATGTAGGCGCTGACCTCCTGAAGGACTTGCAGGAAGGCCAGACCCTCATTCTGAGCATTATTTGAAATGCATACGCTCAAATGCAATTCGAAGTTTGAGACTAAGTAAATAGCTCATAAATATTTCTAAACTCCCGTGCTGCAATAAAATAATTATTTGGAAACATCATCATGATATAATAAAACTTGTCTTCCACCTATGCTTATAGTAAAGTAAAAAAGACTATATTCCCAGTGATCACCTTCCGAGATAGGGATGCAGAGCTGCAAAAGGAAGTTTTGCTTCCGCTATCATTTGGTGTTTCAAAGTTACAGTGTTATGCACTACTATATACTACTCATTTTTTTTTCAGTAATGGTAGCAAGACATTTCTTCTTTGTGGGAACACGTGCACATACACATTCATGCTAGTTTTGGCTTCGGTGGTGCCAACACCTATATATATGTTTTGCTTTCCATTTGTGAAAAGTGGGCTACATCACCTTCGTGACAGTTTGAGGAGGTGGGGCTTCTCTAAGTACATATGCATTGAATAGAAAAAATGTTACAGTTTTTATATTTTTGAGGTCCCAGACATGCAAAGGCTGCTGCAAATTTGTTTTGGACCAATACTAGAAAACTCTACATTAAGATTTTCTGTTTATTACAGCTGAATTTAATACACTTCTACTCATAAAACACTGCATCCCTACATGACTCCCATATCCTAATCTTTTCTTTGGGTTGCAGGTGTATCATTCATGAACTACGTATGTTTGCCAGTGTCTATCAAAAATATGCTCACTCAGAGTGATAAAGCTGCAGAATCCAAGGAAGGAAGCCGTCTAATCAATGGTCTCCTTTCTCGCTGAGCCATTTTTCTGTAAACAGGCTGGTAAAAAGTCATTTATGCTCACATAGTTATACTTGTGGCTCTGGAGTTTCACGACTGGAAATTAAATGACTGGTGTATTTTAGTCAAGTTTGTCTGTGGCTTACTATCACAATTTTCATTATAGACACATTTCATGATTTTCATGGAAACATAGTTTCTTTCTGATGTGCATTTGACGTACATTTGATTTCCATGTTTTACCATTATCCCCTATGGAGCCTTACTGGACAAAACTATAGGCAGTAATACTAATATAGTGATAGAAATTGTGAACAGTTTTCAAGTTCCATTAAATCAGTGGATATGCGCCTGAAGACATCGGACTACCTCTGATTCTGATCTCCTAACTCCACAACTGGCTGAAATGTTCAGGGGATGCTTTCTTAAAGACATAAACCTTATTGTGTCTGTATACCGAAATCTGTTTTCTTTACAGTTTGCTCAGTTAGGTTTACCTTTACAAGCACTCAATAAAATTCTATGAAATACTTGAGATGTCAGTGTTCCTGTTTTCATCATTAAACATTAAAGTTTCTCTCTAACCTCTTCACATTTTTCCTTAATAATTCTACTGTGAGGTGTAGAAAAGGTGATGTTTCTATCAGCAGGTAATAGGACAGCAGCTATTCTTCATCTTCTTAGAATGTCTCTTGAAAACCAACATTGAGATTCAGCATTAACTGTATCAGTAAATTTCATCAAGTTCATTCTCTTAAATTTGAAAGCTAAGCAACGTCTCTTAACCTTATTCCTTTCAAAATAAGTAAATATGAAAGAGAGGTATGGTAAATATTAATGGACAGTCCTAATAAAGCCTAAGTGACTAACAGAAATTTGATTAGCCATTTAGAAAATAAAGTTCTTAGAGCTCACATTGAAATGAATAAGGATGTTTAGTTAATGACTACTGGCCTTAGATACTCATGCTCATGATTCTTCTATATGCTAATTAGTCCTAGGCAATAACACAGATGACAGTTTGGCCCTTAATTCATCTTAGGTTTTAAAAATTACAATATACGAACATAGCAGTGTATCAAACCGCATTTTTTAGATGGCCGACCCATAAAGAAGAGACAGCTGTTGGGAATATGCTATAATTTCTCATCTTTGAAATCTTATCTGTATACATACAGAATATTTGTTACATTACACAAACACAAGTGCTATCAGTCTTTTGTAATCTGATATACCTGGTTGCAGCACTATGAGAAATTTGGCTATTTGTGATAAACGTCCTAAAATGAGTTGAATTATAGCGTTAAAATTTTTTTAGGCATTCCAGAGAGCTTTGCTTCAGTGGGGATGTTCATAAATGAAAGCTTCAAACTGAGGACACTGGATTGATCTAGCAGAATACTTAAGCGTGCAGTCAACTGCATGAATTTGAGTGGAGATCTTTGTTTCAGTGAGACGGTTTTGCTTGAAATTATGTATATTTGTAAGCAAGGTTCTGGAATGGGCCCAAGAGCAGATACAGCTTGAAAGAAAGACTTTGAATATCACTATACTGACACAAGTAAAAACTTTTTTGTTGTTGTTGTTAATTAAAAAACAGCTGCTAGGTTGTTGAGGCTTAAATTCAGAGTCCTTGGTAGTAGAAGGCAGAATGTGGCTTTTCTATTGGTTTTTACTTTGTAATGGTGAACTGTGAATTAAGATGGAAACCAGGTATATTTCTAATCATAGGCTCATCAAGGTCTTCTATATACTGAGAACATTGTCCCAGTTTAACTTGAGTCCATTTTCAAGTTTGGCAATGTAAAATGCTGATTCTCATCTGGTTGTAACATATTTTATAGCTATGTTAGCAGTGAATTCTCATTATGTTTGAAACTTGAAAGCTGTTAAACTAACACTGTTACTCTCTGGATTTAATGTTAACAAGGCTTAAAAGTAGATCTTTTAAATCTTCTTTACCATTTGTGAACTAGGGGACAGAGTTGCCCACGCTGCCACTCTGACAGCATGCCAAAATGAAGTCAAATGATATGGGTAAGGAGAGGACTTTTCTTGGGGGTGGTGAGTGAGGGAGGAGGAGTACTTTGAGTTACAAGTCTATTAAACGTCATCTGAGTCCTTGACCAGGACAAATCTGCAAAGTTAATCTGGAAACAACTGTGACTTCTGTTAACTTTTCGTAAAATTCTCTGGAAAATATTTTTGGCAGTAATGCTGGGTACTGAAACCTGAGTGTGTCCAGCTTTGTACTGATTTGAAAAAAAAAGGCCTTTAAAAGGTCTCCTCTGTACAGGTGGAAGTCCTACTAAAGTCATGGACTTAAATTTTGCCTTGCCTCAACTCAGTTGAGTTCTTTGTATGGAATCTGTTATGAAAATCAAAATAAATGGAGAACGGACGATTGGCTGTGATGCTTTTTGATACCTACCCTGTTATTGACCACTGTTAAAACTTGCGTAGTTTAAAACTTGCATAATGAAGCCAAACTAATCCACCAATATAAGTGAAGAACTATTCCTTCTCTTTCAATCTAGTAAATTACTAGTTGCTTTCCATTAGCTAGCCATCCAAATATCTACACTCAATATAGCATAATGGATATGGATATCTGCATTTTCTATCCAGTTTTTTGGCTGCAAGCTAGATCTCTTTTAAAGACTATTTAGCAAGCTGTAGATATTCTGGATTAGACTGTGAATCTTTCCTCAGCAAATTGGACCTATAGTATTTGGATAGGAATTTTCTGAGGAACATCTACATGCTACAAGTAATGATACTGATGAATTGGTACATAACATTTTTACCTGTTAATTTCATCTGAAGAGCCAATTTCATCTGAAGGGCCCAGTACAGGTTTAACAGATCCCTTAGCAGATGCAAGAGCAACAATGCTAATGCTTTAATTGTCTAAATGCCAAATGTTGTAATTAGCCATATTCTTATGTAAACTACCTATGGAATTTACTGGATAAGATGTTTGACAAGCTAGTGATGCAGCCTGGATATCATGCTGTATGTGCTGGTAAGGCAGTCCTGAATACTTTCAGAGACACTTACTGGTTTTAGATATACTAACACTTAATCTTTTAGTTATGTATTGGTTTAAGTTTATAGGTCAATTTGTGCTGCTAGGTTTTGATAGCTGTGTTAATTATATGCCACAAAACTTGCTACTGCAGAAATGGTGGAAGAGAGGGCAGGAGTGAGAGCTCTTGGCTGTGGTGAGCAGTTACATCAGCTCAGCCATCTTCTGACATAACTTCCTGCAGGGCTAAGGTTCCTGTATGGTGACTTCCAGAAAGTGAAGATGAGCCAGGTTTACAGTCTAACCAAATTTAAATCTCTGAAATCTATATGTAGATTGTATATGTCCATGTATACACAAGTATATGTCAGGAAATGCAGTTCAGCTCTTTATCTCTGGGTGTGGTAGTAAACCAATTGGAATGAGTTAACTTAAACAGGAATGGGTAAACCAGGAGGGAAGTGGTGCCAAAATGTGTATGCGTGTAAGGACATTTAAAGACAGCTGTTACATTTATGGTGACCAATGGAGTTCAATTCTATCACATTAACTTAGCCACAGAGTGAGGGTGGGACTGTTCATTTTTATTTCTCCTTCATCTCAGTGCATGCCTAGCATAGCTTGGCTCTCCCGTCCTGTTGCTGAGAAAATAGATCAGTCTGGGGCAAACTGAAGATATGGAAGGGTGGCACAACATAATAGTGAAGGGTCAGTAGAGCTCTTCTAGCATAGAGCTAGCAGAGATGTGCTTTCACTGGAAATGGGCATGAGCGTGTTTTTTTCCTAGAGAATGAGCCTGAATTCCCCCTTTCCTCACAATCAGAGAGCTAACTGGATGTAAGCTTCTCACATTAACTGCCTAGTTAGGCGCCTATCCATGAAGGCATGATACAGCGCTCCAGTAATTTTCTCAAGATCTTGTTTCTTGGGGGATTGTCCGCCCATACTTTACATTCGGGCCTAATGCATGTACACAGCATAGGAGGTTTAGGTAGTTAAGTTGAAAGAAACTGTACTGGCTGCTCTTTTTCCCATGTCTCCCTCTCTTTCCCTTGAATTGAAAAAAAAAACCAAGTGTTTCCCTTGAATTAAAAAAAAAACCCAACATTGTTCAGAGGGGCTTTATAGTAGGTTTAACTTGTATGAGTTTTTGTCTGTTGGCTAACCACTTGGCCACATGAGTGCTTGTACCAACACAAAGAGACCTTGCTGCAAGAGAAGGAGCAAAGGATGAAAGTAGGGAGGGATTGTCTTTTAAGAACTCAGGGATACTCATAGTGCTTGTGGATCCACCAACAGTGCAAACTCCTCTGCTGCCCTGAAGTGCTTTCTACATGCATTTGGCTCCAATATAGTTTGGGCTACCAGGAAATAAGCTAAATGGGGCATTTAGAGGACTTTCCAGGGTAACAGCCCTATCAAGACAGGTGTAAAATGACCCATTCATCTCAATGAATGAGCGTCCTTTATAGATGAATGGAACTTTTAGTACAGCTCAGAACGTGATTGCTCCATTTATCTGCCCCACCTCGAAAATTTCAGTATCCCACTTGCAAACTGGAGAGGCGACAAAGAGATTTCCGCACTAATCTGAAAGGTTCCCAGGTAATAATGCAGATATTGGGGGTGGGGGGGTTGAGAAGAAGAGCAAAGGTCCCTGTTTTTCATGGAATTAAGGCTTGCTGCTGTTGCCTTTCTTTACTTGATGTTGGATTTGATTTTTAGCCTGGATCATTTCCATGATGCAATTTACATTACATTCCCAGGAGCAGTTACATGGCAACAATTTGGTCTCCGCCTCACTGCTGAAAAAGAAAAGTTGTTGTAGATCTATAGTCTAAAGTAGTCTCCTCCCAGATCCTTTCAATCTTACTGTAATGCTCTCACACATAAGGACTTAAACATCCCCTCAGTGCCTCAAGTTCCACTTAACTTGCATATGAGTGTGCCTAGATTAAATACTAGGTGTCTGATACTCAGTTTAAAGCTGTGATCAGAGCAAAGCCCTATAGCACAAGCTCAAGTGGATATAAAAGTATACAGGAACGGTGAGTTGAATTTGGTAAATGCTATTTTGGAAGGGACTTTTTCTGAAAAATCCCTTCTCCAGTGACGCTTGACTTGGTCCATTGTCAGTACCCCTGGAGATGCTGTCAAAAGAAGGCACACCAAAGTTCTAGAGAATCTGACTTCTAAATGTATATCATTTATACTCTTTTTGTCTAAGCAAAAAGTGATGCTGAATCATAAATACAGCTCTGCAGTGAAGAATCCACTTTGATTTATCTAAGCATCCTAAACATTAACTTTTTATGTGTATAAGTGAGAGACCATATAGAAGGTAACACCAAGTGCCCCCATACACTTGACATCTCTTACCATTATTAACCAAAAATAAATGTGAACAGCAAAAAAAGGAGATAGCTTTCTGACAGACAACCAAAAAACCAAGCTATGCTTTCCAGCTGCAAAGCAGCACAGAAACAGACCCCCCACAAAATGGGAAGTTGCAAGTTTTTAGCCAGGTAAATCCTGCTCTCTGGAAAATGCAGGTGTGTTTTGTGAGAAAAAAACTATTGCTTAGGAAGCTACTTGTGCTTCCCCCCTCTCCCCCTCCCCGCCCCGTGCGTTCTTGCTGCATGGCTACCCCCTAGTGTTGATACTGAACAGTTTCCAATTTTGAGATTACTAGTGTGATCTGTAACCATCTGCCCTGTCTTACTACGAATTTTGATAGTCCTTTTTCTTGATGCTTTTGTGAGCTGCTTAAAATGTATGTGATAGATGGAAGAAAACAAGCAGCATACTAGTGATGAATTCATATATGAAGAAATTTGTGAGGTGGGACCAGTTCTTGTCTGAATGATGGCATTTAGAAACAGATGTATATTTCTTGGAAGATCTGCTTATTTTAATGACTAAAACGAGTCTTTAATTTTTTTCATTTTCTGGGAAGAAAGGAGAGTTTGGGGGGGAGGGAGTTATACTCAATGCCAGAAAAGTTTTAGAAAGACTGGGATCCTTGTGCATCACTCACAGAATTTTATGTGAAGTTTGTCTTCTTTGCAGTGCTGTCTCCCTCAGGTTAGCCTTGCTTCCGTGAGGGCAGTCACACTGCAACAAAAACAACTCTTGAGCTGCTCAAAGTTACAAGGTAAGCACAGCTCAGAATTTTCTGGGCTGCTTCAACTCACTGTACAAAGCCATTCACTTCTTTTTTTTTTTTTTTTTTCCCTTAACTAGGATAGTCTTGTGTCAGGTTAGGGAGCCAAATTGGCTTACGGGGGATCCAGCAAGCACCATCTTGCTCAGGATAGACATGGAGAGGAGTGGACCTTCTTATTGCAATGAGGTATTTAATCAACTTGAGCTGTATTGTACAACTACAGTTTTGCACTCATGCAACAGAGCAGGCAGAATGTATTAGTGATCCATATCCATTTCAGTACAGTTAGGCAGCTTATTTAAAAAGCTAAGTTAAATTGGTATTGAACTAAACTGTTTGAATGTATTGGAGTGAATTAGGGTGGGATCACAAATTCTTCTGCTTCGCATGTGGAAGGAAGTTACCTATGATATTAGCACTGCTGGGAATGGTAAGCTCTTCATTTGGCACATGTCCTGAATATGCCATAATGGAATGGACAGATCCCTTATACTCCTACCAAAGACTGCAGTTCTGTATGCATAACAGATGTGAGTTCAAGGACGTATCTTTGAAACAACTCTTTGCAAGGAGAGAAAAAAAATTAAGCCAAAGCTGGTCTTAGTGTTACAAAGCCAAAGCATGTTTGTACTGAGAAACCAGTGTAAAATGTGAAAAGCAGTAAATAAGCATACACTGTAACAATCCTGTGTTTCTGTTACTGTATAAATGAATATGATCCAAACATTCTGATCTTCTAGGAATCTTTCTCTGATTTCTCAGAGCTGTTTTAAAAATGCTAGTCAAATAGCAGACAATATCTGCCTTTGTGGAAATTATTTACCTTCATAAGGTCTCTCATAAAAGATCAATAAGAAACCAAACAATAAGAATAGGAAACAAAGCCTCTGTGTTAAAAATGTGGTGCAAAAAGCTTGGCAGCTGCCACAGTCAAGACCTCACTATTTGACTTAGTTGTGCTTCTGTACATGCCCAGAACTGACTTAGATTTGGCAGGGCTGTGCAGATCTATGCCTAAACATGACTGGGATCCAGAAATGAGTTGTTCTTTTGCTTGAATCCACTGAAAGGAAAACCTGGGAAATAAATGCCTTGCAGGCAGTACAGGATGTAGAGTACTTACACAATCACAAAATGCAGTAGTGGCCAGTAGGGTTTTGCAGACTCATGGTTAATTAGGGCATTTGTCACTCATCAGGTCATTGTTCCCTGCAGAGTTTCTGCATTTTATGTACTTTAGTACATAAAATAATTCTGACCAAGGCAGAGCCCTTGGAACAGGGACCAGAACCCACATCTGCTCCGTCCAGTGTGCATCAACCTCTTGCACATTCTTTCTGGATCACTGAATCTCCAGTTCTTTACTGCACAGTGGCATGCCTTCAGGAGACTGAGGGGGATGCGTCCCCACCCTAGCATAGACTGGTGGCCAGGCTAGAAGGAGGGTAAATGCTGATAAAGGAGTTAAGTGTTGCTTTCCCCACCCAAGCCCTGCCTAACCAAAAGGAAACCCTCTTACGCCTTCAACTATTTGGTTGATTGCAGAGGACTAACTTGATAGGATGGTCACAGAGAAGGTGACTGGAAATGATGGGTTGAAGTTTTAAGTGTACATATTTTCTTCGATCAGTCAGACTGATACTTCCTTTCAATTAAGCCTGTTAATTATAGTATGCAGGTGAGGTAAGGTTTGCAGGGAAAGCCTCTATCTTTCATTAGACTCATACCACTGCTAACAGCTCATTGTCAAGGAATACGATGGAAAGTCATACCCTGTTTTAATTTAAATGATTGAAGGTGAATATATTAAAGGGGAGCAGCCATGTAGTCATGTGGGTGACCTACCCTCACAAATAAGTTATTTCATTTCTTACTACCTGAGAATCTCTCTGCATGTTAATTTGGAAGAAAGTTCATTAAACCAACCTGTTGTATGGCTGGTGGATCACCAAACAGCTGTGATCTGTTGAGGTCTTGCATTTCTTCCTGCTTACAGAGCCTTTCTAACAGCAACTTTTTGCCTTCTGTTACTGTATGCACTTTCTCTGTTAATAGTTTTTGAAACTGGAGTATGGTGTTTTCAGAAGCACTTTTCTTGAGTGGAACAGGTGACATCTCTGTGGACAAAAGCAAAGTACGCTGTTAGAGTGCACGAGTCAATGAACTACTGACTGAAAATCTAGCACATGCCAGACTTTTCTAATGCTGTCTTTCTATTATGTCTTTTGTTGGTGGGCCATAGAACTTCATGGTGTTGTGTAGTGGCACATTGCATAATGGCTAGTAGGAATGAAGTATACCTTTTTCTTAAAATTGCTCATGCTGATCTCTCATATTTAGAAACTTTAGCTTTGCCTAACTACTGCCTATGCAAGGCATATTTATACTTTCATTTATTGTCAATTAGATGTTTAATCACTTAGTGTTACTCCTGTTAGTAGAGTTTGTGATGATGTACTGAACAAGTTGAATTCAAAACTGTGGTGTTTAGATTTGTTTGTGTTCACAGAATCACAGAATGGTTGACGTTGGAAGTGACCTCTGGAGATCATCTAGTCCAACCCCCTACCCAAAAAAGGTCACCTAGAGCACATTGCCCAGGATTATGTCCAGAGTATCTCCAAGGATGGAGACTCCACAACCTATCTGGGCAACCTGTTCCAGTGCTTTGTTACCCTCACAGAAAAGAAGTTTTTCCTTATGTTCAAATGGAACTTCCTGTGTTTCAGTCTGTGCCTGTTGCTTCTCATCCTATCACTGGGCACCACTGAAAAGAGTCTGGCCCCCTTCCTGTTCCATCTCTCTGTAGACAAGACATCATTTTATTATTATAAATAAGGGGGGAAACTCCCTGAAAGTTAATTTTGTCATCCCTCATTCTTGGACTTTTTGACTAGGGCATGACAGTTCTGCCAGGAACAAAAACAGCTCCTGACCTTTTCCTATATCAGATTGCGTACCACATATTTCTGTCCATCCCTTCACTTCTCTCTCTCAGGCATCCTGTAGCACATTTTTCTCTTTGGTAACAGCTGTCTTACCTGTTTTTCTCTTGTGCACATAATTTCTCCTTGCACTTACTGACACGTGTAGCTCCAAAAAGCACATCCATCACTGTGATACCATCCTTATTTTCCTCTGAGAAACAGAGGTTATTAAAACAGGTTATTCTTACTAAAATCTTCTCAAGTTTTCTGGCATTTGATCAAAGAAGAACCTTTTCCTGATGTTTCCCTCATTTTTAGGGGTAAGGATTGAAATAAATTATCAGGCCCACATTTTGATCAGGATCTTTCATTTTGGGATTGTTGAGGGCGAGAGAAGAATGTTAATTTGGGGGTTGGTGAAAGAGGAATTTGTTTAATTGTTTGAGTACTTGAAACTAGTATCTGGCATCCAGTTCTGCAGCAGTGTACGGATACTTTAGAAAGGCAGAAGGCTCTTACCATCATTCCATGTTTTTCTCTTCACACCCAACGATCCTGTGTTTGCTGTAACATCTCCCACTGAAACTTAAAAGAGAAAAGCAAGGTGACTAGATATTTCGCAAAGACATCCTAAAAGCAAAGTCAGTCACAAATCAAAAAGCTTTAAACTACAGAAGCAGATGCACTGGGACAAGTGACTCGGAGCAGACTCTAGACAAATTAGGTGCTGGTTTAGCACCTAGAATCAGGGTGGAGACACTACTTTACTTTACAGATGGCTGGAGCAGCTTAATAATGTTTCTAAAGGTTGTTTTTTTCTAAAGGTTATTGTTTTCCTTTTTCCTGCATCAGCATTTGCAGCACAGACAGGTTACACGGTCCTTTCCTATCATGCTGAAATGTAAAGCAGCCAGGTTAGCTCAAATACTCTTGGTGTTGACAAAGTCCATCCACAGCGGGTAGAAATGAGCAGTAATATCTTCAGCTTCCTGATTTGGAAGAAAATGTCTGTCTTAAGAAAATCATCCAGCACTAGCCCATGGCAGATTTGTGAAGCAGCAGTGTCATCTCATGACTGTGTGGATTTCTTTCCAGCCTCAACTAGTGGTGCTAGGGTGTTCAAAGCAAGCCTCTGGGCACCACGTTAGGGCTCTAATTCAGGGGTGAGGGCAGCTGGCTTAGGGATGGCTGCAGCAGTTTCTGCTCCAGCTGTCCATCTTGCTTGTGCTGCCAAAAATGGTTCAGCTCCTCATTCAACATTTGTGACACTGCAAATTATTATCTGGTATATTGAGAAAAATCAGAATTAGTTCAGGTTTACCATAACTCATTAAACTATAAGCTGCAGTGGTTAAGCTGCTTCTACATGAGCATCTGATCTGCCTGGAACAGGAGTGGCTGCCTGTGAGAGCTGTAGCGGTCAGCCAGTAGTGAGAACTCTTACAGCTGACACAAGGTAAGCTGTTGCAGTTCCTACATCAGAGGCCTTTGGATACCGAAATAGAAGCAAATTCTGTTTATAAAACTGAGTTTGATTCTGCTTTAGCAAAATGAATATAATAATTATTAACAACCAAATAAACATCACTGCCCTGGGTTTTTCTCTCCAGGTGACAGTATAAATGGAATTAATGGAAGTTTGCTTTTTTGAGTCCTTGTATTTGACTTGTTACATATTTCCACAGTTCTAACTGGTTTGGGTCTTGCAGCTCTGCATCCATAACATTTTACGTGCCTATTTGATCACCTCCAAAGCATGTCCTTTGTCAAGCCCCATTTCACCATTTCTCACTTAAGCTTACACAACTACAAAGATTCTCCAAAAATCTCATTGAATACTTCAGATGTTTTCAGTTTTTGTTAATTTTCTCACTCCTCCAAATGCCATTTTGTTCTGTGAATATTGCCTGCTTGACTATGCAAATATAGGTTCTTCATTTATTTTCCTCAGTCATTCTGGGCTTGTATTTCACTTCTGTACCATGGGTCAACAGGCACATTTCAGTGTAAGAGCTGTAACTCATTACTGAAGTTTTTAGTACCTGATAGGAGGCTAGAACTTTCACATCCCCAACTTGATGGACCTAGAGGCTGTCTTCTTAAGATACAGTCAACTTCATCATAAAACCTCATTTTTCTCCTGGGATTACCAAGTTGTTCATTTTCTTTCTGCAGTGCTCGGTATTCATATTTTAAGTTCTTGTACTTTGTGCGACATTGTTTCCAGTCTCTGTCTATTCCACGTTTCATTAACCTTCTGGCAATTTCCTCAAATATTTCTTTATTTCTTGTGGCTCCTTCAAGCATTTGTTGTATCTTTATATCTGACCATATGTTTATCAAAGCTCTGACTTCATTATCACTCCAGTGTTTTCCTGCTCCAGTATCATTAACTGTAATAACTTTAAAGTGATTTTGGGCTTCATCCAAGGGAATTTGATTATCTGAAAATATAAATGAAACAATAACTGAGTATTGCTGAATACACAGAAATAAAAGTAAATTTGTAGCTAATATTTCAGGAACGAGCTGGAAGATTAAGTTTTATATTAATCTCTTGTTATGAAAATCTTTGAACTTTGCACTGTAAATGCCCATATATGGTCACACTGCACTTAAATATGCAAAATATGTAGCAGATTAAATCTCTTGTCCCTTGAAAGCATCTACAATTCAAGATTTTTGTCAGTGCAATTTTGTTATTGATTCTAAAATGGACGTATCACAGTGTGGCACACAGAAAAGCAATAGCCTATGACCTTTAAAAGCAACATGGTATCTGCAGTGATAAGAAAATGGCTTTCCAGTATTGTTTCAAATTAGAAGGAGAAGACAAAATACCATGCAAAGGAAAATGCTACCAGCGACTCAGTAGAAGAAAAAGCTTAGTATCTAGCTGTTTACAGGTTATCCTTAGTATCTACCTGGTTACAGGTTAGGTAGATGCTAATCATAAAATAAGCTGAACTAGAGTATTACTGCAAATTTTGTTCATGCCTGGGAATAAAGATAGGAAGTTCATTCTTAAGTTTAGTGATAAAGTTAGATAGAAGTCAGAAGCAGATAAGAGAAGCTGTGTTTACAGTACAGATTTGGCTGCTCCAGCTTTTGGTATTGAAATTACAATGGGATTTTGTTTCAGAGGAAATGCATAGAACTAAACACTCACCTGTTCCAACTGTCCGCTTTGCTACTGGTGTACAAGATCTGTCTTCTGAGGTAGTGCTTACAGAATCATCATCTATAGAAATATGTAGTTTTAAATACAATTGATTTAGACAAAAAAACTGCTAATATTATTCTCATGTTCTGCAGGTAGCACTTATCTTTCTTAAATTAAAAATGTCATAAACCATTAGACTTTGAGGCAACAGATTCTAGCCAGGTTTTCTGCCACATCCCTCCCTAAAATCAAATAACATAAAGAATATTATATCTCATAAGCCCTGTCTTTCCTTCTGCCTCACTGCTTTCCAAAAGGCAGCTGTGGATGCTGCACACAAATTTAAAATGCTTGATTAAATATGTAGGCTTATGTGCATGGTTTGGATATTGCATATAAGTAGATTTGCATAACATGTTTGTACACAATGCTTAGCACAGGCTTGCCTGCCATTTTGTTTTTAGGTAAAATGGGTAAAGCCAGTATGGTGAAGCTTTGGTGGCATTTGTAAGGGTGCACTCCTGTGGATTTGCTCATGCCCAATAGAGACTAAACTGCAGCATTTCCCGTAGTGGAATCATTTTTAGAGCCTCCTGCTGTTTTCATAAAATGTGCAGGGGCCTAATCTCCCAATTCCACGGCCATCCTCTTTAAGTTTGGAAATTGTCCACTTGGTTCAAATGTTATTGGGAGGAATGACAGGCACAGGTACCTGCATGCAGACCTGCACTGACAGAGTAATTGCATAAGCTTCATTTTACGCTGTTGAGTATGGATTTTCTCAGATCTTTGTGAACTTTCCTAACACATCAGAAAGAAACTGGAAAGAGACATTTCCTGCTTATTCCTACTTGTTTCTCTGTTCAGGTTCTCTCTTTACCACTAGTCCATTTAGAGTCCATTTTATATAAGCTACCATGGTGGGTTTCGAATTTGGGCTCTGAGGTGTCCTTATCCCTGGCTCAGGAAAGGAGGGAGCAAACAGATGTTAGATTTTTGTGGGGAAGGTTTTAGGAGACAGCTATGTTTATATACTTCTGGATGAAAGGCTAGTCTCTGATGTAGAACTTCTGAGATGGAGAGAACATAAGCAGAAGAAAAATTGGAAAGCAAACAATTCATTAGTGCCTTTGTGGAAATCTTTAGCCTTAATGTAATTTGCACCTTCTGTGTGCAGGCACAGCTCTGTCCAAAACCATTCTCTACAGCTTAAATGAGAAAACAGCATTTTGGGGAAGACAGAAGAACTATTTTTTATTCTACTCACACCTGAGTTCTCTTCAAAATTCTATTGCAAACAGGATAGAAACATCATTATATTCTTTGTCTGCGTGTCTACATGCCACTTTCTTTTTTTCCCATCAAAGCTAAGGCTACGATAGCTTTGCTGTCATTTACAGCAGAAAAACTGAAGTGAGAACTTCAGAAATAAAATTCTGACTGGGCAAGAGCTGTCAGAATTTTTGAAACCACCTCTGGGTATTGGAAGCCAGCTCTGCTGACTCTGGGCTCATTTGCTCGTACCCTCAGGTTTTTCTTTATGTGCTTGGACTTCTCTGAGATTGAAAGTTTATTTTCATGTAGAATCAGTTTTTGGCTTGGGACAGAGGGAGAGATGAATTCTCATAGTTTTGAATAGCTGGATGTCATAGACCAAATATCTTCAAAAAAGTTTTCAGTAAAGGACAGAAGTAAATACTCTTTATATGTTCTGAAAAACTGCATGCATGGTTTAGGTACTGTTGGAAATAGAGGATCGTTGGTAAAGAAGCAGGGGATCATTTGAGGTACCTTTTATAATGGTACTGGCTAATAAATACACAAAGCAATACTTGGAATTTATAATTATTTTGTAACTGTGTTGTATCTTAAGTGATTTGGCAAATACTTGTTTTCATAGCCAATATACAGGCTTAAATTTTATTCATGAGGAAAACAGAATCAGAAATTAAATTCCTATGATTCTGTGTGTGATTTACTTGGGGTATGAGCAAAAAGTTGTTCTTTCATAAATAGGCTAATCTATAACTCAAGAAAATTCTTGCAGCTCCCTTTAACATTTGTGGCTATTGGAAACACAACCGTGGACCACAGGGGAGTGATAGTTCTACTCCTGGGTTCTTAAATGTTTTTTTTTTAAACTGTGTTCCATAAATTCACTGCCTTCATTCTCTCATTCTCAACCATGCTGCCTCTCTAATCTTCTTCTGCTGTCAGAAATGGCATGTGTGTACCCTGCCTTCAAGTGATTACTATCCTCAAATGGGTATTACATGACAAGAACAGAAAACATGTTTGTATAATAAGGCAGTCCATTGATTCACATGACATGTTATTCTGTGTCATTGTGTATGAACTGTTCTCTTTGCATTAGCGTGACCTTGCTGTGTCTCTGAACTTTCAGGGACAAAGTTTTATGTTATCCTCAATGTAGCTTGTGTTTTCTATGTGGCAGTGCTCTTATGGAATTGCTTTAACATTGTCCTCAGTTTATACTCCTTACAGTTGTCTTTCCTAATTTTATCTTACGTCAACAACAACCTCTGTAAACAGTTGTAAAAGCGCTGTTGGTCTCTCAACATCCAAACTCCAAACAACATAATCATTAAGAAGGAAGCTCTTGCCTGGATCACAGAAATATGGCCTTACACAATAGAAATATTCTCATGAGAGAAACTTTCAAAGTAGAAGGACAAAGACTTATGATTCACAGAATCACTATGATAGAATTTTTTTTATTGTTTGCATTAACTTGTGGATGTAAATAGTAATACTCTAATAGTATATTTTGATCCAGGATGTCAGGCCAATAGATTTCAAAGCAATCTCATTTTCTCTAATGCATTATTTTCAAGACCTTCCATGGTTTCTATGCTCATTAACTGCAGAAGTGTTTTCCAGTGTCCAATTTTAACATTTTTAATAAAACAGTCCTCTTCTCCTGAATACTTGACACTGAATGTATGACTTTTGGATATTGGTAAAGCTCTGATTTCAGTTGCATGTTTAAAATAATTCAGAATACCTATGGCCATTGCTGGATAGTGAATAGAATGAAATTAAATGCACTATCATGAAATAGTTTGAAAAGACAGACAAGGCATAAAATCTGTTTCTGAGGCAGCTATTTAGCGTTCCAGTTCATCCTCTCTAGTAACTGTTTATGAAAAAACCTGTACTTGTGTCACAGTCAAATGCAGAAGTGTTACCATATCTACCATGAGTATGTTGTCTGGGGAAGTAAAATCTTTTTTTTTTTTTAAGAGTAGGAGGGAAGGAGAGATAAATGTTTATGCATTTTTGGACTAGGAAAACAAACAGAAACATGTTGTATCGTACCCAGATGTAGAACCAGTATAGTGTGTGGGAATATTTATTATATGAATCTTAGAAATATGCAGTCCCCTGTAAAGTAGAATATGTCATTATAAATGCCATTATAATCATGAGGATGACATTGACCTACCTATGTCAATTGTCTCCCTCTTTATTTGTGTGGCTTCCAGTGCTGCCTGGGTGGAACCAATGAAGTCCGCCTCATCTTCGAGGTTTTCTGTTGAAAAAATTCAGAGTTCTTGTTCATTATAAAGGCCTTCAGTTATGTCATGAGTATGACCAACTTCAGAAAGTCTGCAATGATGACAACTATCATTAAAGTTTTCATATTTTAATTCATTAAGACTGTCATTGCTCTTCAGCAGTTGACTTAAAAGTCTAACCTAAGCACTTCAGTTTGAGGGTATAGATTAAAATAAATCCAGAACACCACGTAACAGTTGCTCAGTGTAGGTTTATGAATGAAATGTGCAAACCCTAAGTTATTTAAACCTGGGTCAGGGACTTACAACCACAGTCAGAGAACCATTCTACAAATTCTGTAAGACACATTTAATAACTGGTGACCCTGTGTTTAGCAGAGTGGGGAAGATGGTGACTTTCATAAGGGGTGTGTTCAACACACAGTGAAATCATTGAAAGATTCCAGAGTGGCTGTGAGGAGTCACTGAATCAGACCCCAAAAGGATGAGGGTGCTTTCATTGATTTTTGGATCCTGGTGCTCTGCCTGGATGACTGATCTGCAAGACTGATTGCCTGCTTGATAAAGGCAAAGTACTCAATTCCTGTCCTCAGAGCATCAGCGTTTCTGCAGCTGGTAGAAGGGTTTATGTCACACTGTCAGGGCCCAGGCCCTGGGCGAGCGGACAGCCGTGGCCCCTTGGCCCTGCTCTCACCTTGGTGGGGAGGAGAGCTCTGCTCCTCTTCCATTGGTTCGCTAGTGTTTAATGGAGAACTCCACCCCTTTGCCCTGGCAGACTGGCAGATGATGCAAGTAAGCTTTCAGATCCTCATTTCCAGGTGAGGAAACTGGGGTACAGAGATTAAATGCTGAAGGCCACACTGTGGATCAATGGCAGCAGTTTCTGGCTCCCAGCCTGTTCTCAGTCCATTCAAGAATATTGCCCTTAAAGGTTGAGCAATAAAGTATGTCCTATAGCTGTGACAATTTATTAAAAATTGTCCTCCCAAATCAAAGTGGGTTTGTTTGTGTTAGACATTCTGTATGAGATGACCAGCATCATGCTCTTTTTTTTCTCTTGTAAGCCAAGAATGTAGCTAACCTGGCCTGGCCTGGCTTTTTTTAACCACCATTCTGAGTTTTGGGGGTGGGCATGAGAAGAGCAATGCTGAGCCAAACAGAACAAACGATCAACAATTTCTCACATGAATAAAACACAGCCACTCCATCCACATTGTTTAATCAAGCTATAGATTTTTGCCAGCAAACAGGCTTATCTTCTACTCTGTGTTTGAAGCATGCTAAAATGCCACCAGAGCAACGCTGTAGATCTCTCTTACTCCCTCAGACTGGTACCTGCTACACTCTCCTTTGGCGCTATGTCATTATCACTATGTATCCTCTTTCCGCGGCTCATGAGGGAAGATTAGGAATTTGTCTCCTAATCCTTACCCTCATGTGTGATATGCGTAGTATAAACATGAAGTAGAGAATGTCAAATCTCAGGAACACCACGTCAGTGTGTGGCTTGTGTTAACTCTTTAACAGCTTGCAAATTTGCTGCAGTCTCTGTCACATAGATCTATGGAACTGGATGCAAACAATTCTGGATGCACAGTTGTGACTTTGAGTCACAGGCAGGCTGAGTATGCCTCAGGCTAAGCCAGTGAATAATCAAGGACTTCTGCTGTGGCACTTTTCTGAAACATTCTTCTTGAGAGGAGTTGAGGGTAGATGTATTAAAACATTATCTTTTGACTTTATGCCTGTACTTTTAAAAATTCCAAGCGCATGGCAGCAACCATTCAAAAGAAGCCAACCGAAATGCCTGAGTATGTACAGATTTAAGATCTTCAAGCAACCAGTTTTTAAAAAGCCCTTGCCTAATGGCAGTATCTTGGCAGTATCATGACTTCAATTTTTTCCTAAGAGGGATATATAGTAAACCTTATGGGGCACCAAGAATCCTAAAAAATAATGACAAGTCATTTGTTTGAAGCAAAATACTTGCTGTAGCTTTTTTCCTAGCACAACAAGATACTAACATTCTTTAGAATCCTATTCTCATGCTCCAGTGATATGCTGTGTGGCACTTCAGATTTAACGAAATATCACAGATTTAATCAAAAAGTGGCCTGTGGTCATAGTGGATGTTCTGTGACACATTTGGAATGTATATGTATATTGAGTTTGCACTGACCACTACTACTTGTGCAAATTGAAACAATCAGATCTTCTGAATAGATTTCTGGAATCAACTATTCTTAAAAGTGATCCCAGGAAATAAAACCTGTTAGTCAGAAGGACTAAATATGATTTTATTTCCAGATTGATTTAATATAGATATCTGTTATCAGAAAAGAGAAAATAGCGGCAACCCTAGGTTGCTTTTCTAGGCTCCTTTTGCCAAAAACTAAATGTTTTTTGTGATTGATATAATGCTCCTGCACACTCTGTTGGCATTCAGTGCAATGGTATGAGAGAAATTTCAATACACTTGCAGTCTGTAGAAGAACTTCTAAGGATGTATTTATCTTTGTTCCTTCTCAGGTGGCCATTCACTATTCTTTGAGTGTGAATACATTTGTGCAGAGGAGAAAACCCAGTGAAACATCAAATAAATAGATATTTTCCTGAAACTGGTGCATTGTCTTTTGATTAATACCATCTGAATCTTTTCCTTGACAGCAGAGTATGGCAAACCTGACTGAAGACTGGCAGTGGTGATGGTATTACAGTGATTAGGAACTCACTCCACATGAGGATCCACGTGTAGGATCATGAGAAGCACATGCATTTCTGTGCATTTGTGCTCTTCTGCAGTAGCCAGAAAGCCAATGTCTGCCCAAGTTTGCTGGTATATATCTGGACGAGGTGTGCCCATAGCTCTGACTACAGAGTAAATTAGCCCCATGGATCAGTCAGGAAGATGCTGTGGTGAAACTCCAGTGCAAGGTTAACTGAATTTCTAAATTCTTATTTTTAACAAATTAATTTTTTTTTGCAGTTCTTAAAAAAGAAGTCACAGCTGAGTGTATATATAGATTATAATTACATGCTTGTTGAGAATAAGTTTTCTATGGAAGTTAGGTTGAAAATGGAATAGCCTTTAAGAAGTCACATCCTAAAGGCTATAGATCGTCAGAGATCTGTTGAAATCAAAAACCAATGTAATGTCAAATCCTTGTCTCATTGCATTTTTCACTATTTATCAGCAAATTAACTTATGAATATAAAGGTACATACAATCTCATAAACTACCACTTTTTCACTTTAAATTCCTTTGGACTATCCAGGAAAGGCATGTACAACAATTAGAAAATAAAGGGCCTCCATGATATTATCAAGTAAAAAATATACATATTTTGTCTGTATTATATAATACCTTACTCTGTTACCATAAATAACATTAAAGTTTAAGTGTTTTTTATCACCTGTCAGTAAAATGATTTTAGTCTGTGTTGTTCATATGGGAACAAAGGAAAGAATTTTGGAAAGCAAAACTGTACCACATCAAGATGAAGTGCTGTGTTTTTTGCCTTTTTTCCACAGAAGTTCAAACTTTAGTAGGATAGGCTGACCCAGAGACACTTGTAAAACACTTGCTATTTTAATCCTTGCCCCCAAAATCAGGCTACAATTTAAGTAATTACAATACCCAGAAACAAACAAAACTGAGAAAGGAAATGGTAATTAAGGTAGGCTATAGATCCATTATCCACAAAAAACCTTAAAGGAATGTTGAAGTCGCAAAAATGAGTACGTGAAACTTTACTGGAAGTATTCAGTTAACATGTTTTAATTAACTGGTTTAGAAGATCCAGAAAGTTAAAACACTGCAGAGCTGTAAGCAGTTGAAAACTGTCGGAGGACAGTGTAATAGCACTGTCGAATCTATGTTTTATTAGTGTCTTACTACTGTCCGTATATGTGTAGTAGTTTTGCTTCTTTCCAGGGAAATGTAATATGATACATTTTACAGGTAGTTTTAACTGGGTCCCACAAGTACTATTTATGATTTCTTACATATTTTGTCTCTCTCAGAATGAGGTCCCTATAGGAAATGCACTCTTCTGTGACAACCTATTTTTCCGTAATAAATGCCTCAAGTGTCCGTGGTGATCTGGTAAAGGCGAGTTATATATTTCTTTGTTAGTAAATTTAAATTCATACATTACATTTTCCGCTCTGGAGTGGTGGGGGAGGAATACTAATGCCCAATATATCTCAAGTTACCTCTCATGATCAACCATATCTTTATTTACTTGTCATAGCTGTTTCTTTTGTTATATGCAGAGCTGCCAGATTCTCTGGAGTAGTATTTACAGTAACATCCTCTGTCAGAAGATTTTTAATTTGACATTAAAGCCTTTCACGTTCACATTAGGCCATTCTGAATTCTGTAACACTGTTCCTTAATGCCTTATTTATGAGCATATTCTGCCTCATGCTACTATAGAAGATTATGAGGTAATCTTTACTGTGAAGAGTCAAGTCTGTCAGCCTTCCAGAAAGACCTTCATCATGTCTCTAGCTGAATGTTAAACAACTCCCATTTCCCCTGAATGTTGAGTTTTCAGAGGCAAACCATAATGTTCCTTTGTAAAGAGCATATGAGTTTCATATTCAGTGGTCAGCATAAAATAGATAGTGATACTCTGCACGGAAATTTTGATTCCCTGACGTGAGCGTTTGCAAAATTACATTAAATATTGATCAAATTATATTGTGAAAAAGAGAATACCACATTAATTTATGCATAGGATACTGAACAATTCTAAAGGCTGGCAAAGCATAGTTTAAGTAAATGCCCTAATACATGGCGCTCAACTTGCTCAGAGCAGTAGTTTCTTCTTCCTTACATTCTGGACCTTGAATCCTTGAAAAAAATTCTGACTAGACTGTTTTCATCAAGTTTAGGCAAGCACACTGTAAATGCATACATATATGCATGTATTTATTAAATGTATGGTTATGATGTTATGTCCCGTTTAAAAGCTTTTTAGGCCTCTGCATTTTCTAACTGTCATTGCAATGTGGACTTATTTTAGAAATCCATTTTAGCTCACTAAATTTAAGGATTTGTATAAAATAGAAGACTTTTCAGTTTACCTGAGTCAGAAACTTTCTTTATATCTGCAACCCGTAGGTCTTCTGACATATTACTAATAGAGTCCTCTTCACCTGTGTCTCCAGGCATTTCTGTGTAAATAATGCTGTTAATTAGGGTACCAGATTAGTGTACTATATAAATACTATATAAGTACACTGCTGTGTCAGACCACAAGATCCATCTAGCCTCAGATCCTGTTTCTGCCAGCAGTCAGTAGTAGATGCTTAAGGAAAGAGTCTAGAAAGAGGCCAGTTGTAGTACAGTGAAGCTGTCCCAGAACGCTCTGCTAGTTTTCAGCAGCCTAGGATTTAGGTCCTTCCTCAGGCAGAGACTGTCTACTCATCTTTGTTTTGTTATGTTTTTCTTACTCACTTCTTCCATCCATTTATGAACTGTTAGTCTTATATTTGGCCACCATAATATCCTCTACAGAATTCCACGGTGTCGAATTCTTATCGTCTAATAAACAGTTTTAAGTTTAATTTTGTTCTTAAACAACAGGCTTATTTTTGGCTGTACATACCAATACAAATGTCTGAACTCCTGTGTAGTGTAGGTGCATCAGTCTACTCTAATTCTGCATTAATCTATCCATTACCAAGTTATCTATCAATAACCACACAAAGGATAAATGCACGTTTCACCAGCATTCTTTTGCTAGTCTTTCTACTATTTTCACATTAGTCATTTATGTCACTGGTTTGGGAGTCTTGCTTCAAAGGCCAATACAGCTGGGCTATTTGGGACCATAAGAGAAAGGGAGTTAAAATGTTAATATATAACTAATGTCTACAGCTACAGACTTCTTTTGCTCAGTATCTTCATTTTTCCAATTACACAGTCTGACCATCTTTCTGACCCATTTTTTATCTAAGCTGGAAACAATCTCTTCTGCTATGATTTTAATTCAGATTGGTCTCTCTATATCTCTTCATCTTGTGACCTAAATGTTGATTTTTTTTTCCTCTTGCAAGTATACTCTGTTTCTCAATTCTGTAAAAAAAAAATGTTTGGGGGAACTACTCAATGTCAGAGATTACCTCAAAATGTAAAGTAAACAACTGGACAAACGAGTAATTTTCCATTCACTGTTTTTTTTTCCCCAGCAAATTAGTTAATCCAGCTGGTTGGCTTTTTTGGTTATTTTAAGGTCTCTATAGTGCTGGAAAGCTAAAAATTTTAAAAGATATGGGTAGCTGAAGTACTTACCTATGGAGTCCTTTTCTGATTTTGCTTCAGTCCATTCTGGAGGCCTCCCACTTTCATCGTTATCTGATTTACTTGCTTGTTCCATGGTGCTGTGCCCCAGAATAGCATCCAGTTCATTAAAAAATTTCATGCTTTTACTTGTACTCCCTGAGTCTTGGGCATTTTTTACACTCTTGTATTCATGTTTCAGATTTTTATATTTTGTCCTGCACTGCTTCCAGTCCCTGTCAATTCCAAACTTTTGAAGTCTAGCAGCAACCTGTTCAAATATTCTTTTATTTCTCACTGTCCCCTCCAGTTGTTGCTGGATATTTTTATCAGACCATATGCGTATCAGAGCTCTGACTTCATTAACAGTCCAGTGTTTTCCTCCTTCATTTGCTACTGTTGGAATAAAAGCCGGTGTTTTGGAAGCCTCTATTGCAGACGTTGGATTACCTGCATCGTGTGGGGTAGAGGAGAGAGAGATTCAGGTAGGTAGTTGGGGTGGGGAAAGGACAGAGAGAATGAGAATGACGAAATCTATTTCCTAATGGCTTTTCTCTCCAAAGAAAGATGGAGCAAAAGTGACATTAAATGAAGATACTTGTCATTTTTGTTAATTAAGACAACATTTTTTTCTTCTCTTGAAAATTATATTTAAGATAGTGCACGTGCATTTAGTTAACCCGAGGGGAGTATTTCTTTCTTTTGTTCCCAAATACATTGAACTTTTACTTGAAACACTCTTGAGAATAACTGATTAACTGTTTTGTCTTTGAGAGACTGGACTGGAGAAGACTGTTATTTGGATGATGAAAAGTGCCATATTAGCACAACAATAAATTGGGCCCTGAGTCACTGACACTAGCATAAAAGCTTCTGCATTCCTGTCGTACTTTTGGTTTTATACACATGCACACCTTTAAACCAGGCAAAGACCTGAAGAATCTGATCCTTAATTCTAAGAACATCTCTTTTGTGGGGAGCTGAGGAAGGGAGACTTTTGCGTTAAGTCACACAAGGATATGTGCAACACTGAACCCAGTTGTCATGCTACAGAACTGCTCCCTTTTCCAGTGCAGTTCAGTATAAAAAAGTAAAAATTAAAATTTGAGTAATTTACTCTTCAGCACTAGCAAAATAATTTTTTTGACTTTTTTCAGTCTTAATTTTTTTTAATAGTTTCCTTGTTTATAACAATGAATTTGCTTAAAGACTTCATTCTGAAAATCAAATAGTTGGGAAAGTTCCTTCTCATGCATTTTCTAAATCTATGCAAAAAAATACTTTTTTCCCAAACTATTCCAGAGAGAGAGACATGAAAGTGCACAGTAACTGACACAGTTTTTTGCAGTCATACTGATAAACTGTTGCCTTTGCAACTGTCTTGTTCTCAAGGGCAAGCTAGGCTATGGAGGTTGGATACTTTATAGTCACTGAGCTTTGTGTGGCGGCAAAAATATTTGACCTTTGCTTGCACGTATAGCCTTAGTGGAACACAGCTGTGTATAACTTATCCGGGGAGAAACTTGTTCTAGATACAATCATTCTTTGCAAGTCTCCATAATTCATTCTATTTGTGAAAAGGCTGTACTAAAAGATACCAATTTTTCTCCTGTTAGTCCTGTTTTAATCTGAACTCTGCTGCAGCGAGCTCACTGATGCAATCTTGAGGAAGGTAATTTTCAGGTGACCTATCAGTTATGCTTTCTTCACTTCTTCCTGAAGGAGTGAAAGAAAGCGCTTGTTCACATGTGAATGACCAGAGAGAAGGCCTAAGAAAAGACTGTGAAGGTGCTCCACTAGCTCTGAAAGCCATAGAGCGTGGGATAATTTGGGAGAAATAAAGTTTCTTTAGCTTTTATGTGGACAAGTATTTCCCATTAATAAATTCATTTGCAACTGAGCTCACCTCCCCTTGTGGATATTGGTTTGTACAGATTCTAGTGAGGCAGTGATTGTTCATTTGTCCTGCTGTATGTAGGGCACTGTGGAAAATGTTTGTTTAGTTTGTTCCTCATTCCCTCTAAAAATTTTTGTGATTCACAGTATTTTACCCTTGAAACAAAGTGGTTATTATGGTCACTGAAAATTTTGTTTATGTTTCAGATGTAGTTTAGTTCTAATTAGTTTTAAAATATTTTTAAATCATTTGAGACCGGATATCGAGTATTTTTTGTCTGAAAGATGTCTCGATACCATATTTTGATATTTTTCTAAGCTTTGTCAAAAGCGAAAAAAAAGTGGAGCTATCTGCTGAAGTGAACCCAAAATATTAAGCAACATAGTTATAAAGGGCTTAACATTTTTTTCCACTGGTGACTGAAATAGTGCCTGAAATCTAAAAACTAAAAGAGGCACTAGGAACTTTCAAGTATCATGCTTGAGAGCCCCTGCAATTGAAGTTATTTAGCTGGCTTTGTATAAAACAGCGTTCTCAGAATTAAAGGTTTTTTTGGCAAGCCAAACGAATCTGCTTGGCAGTGTGTTGCAAAAGCACTGATGAGTAACATGGATTTAGGCATATTTCTGTAAATTTTGATGCAGGTACTTACTGCAATAAAAGTTGTATATATATATGTATATATATTTCCATATGAGACTCTTGTGTCTTCTTTAATTTCTTGCTATGGCAAGCAAAAGGAGCGTAATGTGCACTGTAAAAGCCATAGGTTTAGATGGGACATTGTTTTCTCTCCGAATATGGCACCTTGCAGATTCTTTAGCAACGGTTGTTGTAACTGGGCTGGGAGATGTATGGTAGGGCACAGCGGGTATGTCAAAAATAGAAAAAGCACTCTAGAAGTTCCGGACAGTGCTGCTGTTCATTCAGGCAAGGAATAAGCTAGCCAGTTACATAATACTGCCTAAAATGTGTTCCAGGTTTCTTCATTTCCTTTAGCAGCCCCTTGAAGTGGCTCACACCTAGGTTTTTCTCCTTTCTGGGCTGCCAGATTTGTGCCTTTGTTCTGTAACAGCTTTCCTCAGCAAAAGCAGCACAGTTCCCAGATAAATTGTTGTATGCTTGATTGGCCTTAAAGCATTATTCACCACCCCCTGCTTGAGAAGAGGATACTGAGAGCTGCTTGAAGACTATTGCAGGTCTGACCTCTGCATCTGTCTCCTAGCTCAGGCCTTTCACTCTAAGCAAAAATTACTTGAGCTGGAGAAAAGCCACAAGTTAACATGTGCATCTCACACTACCATTTGGAATGCTTTCCGCTAGCATATCACAAAATATTTTTATGTGTTTGGTTAATGTGGTTAGTACGATTAAGCTACAGCATGGGATGTGTTTTGAGTGTAAAAGGTGGTGGTGATGCAGTAGTTCTGTTACTTACAGTGGTCAATATCTAGTGATGATGTAAAAGGTGGTGGTGATGCAGTAGTTAGTTCTGTTACATACAATGGTCAATATCTAGTGATGGATTAGACTGTTGAGTCCTAAAACTGGGAAGGTGATGGTGCAAAAGTGTGACCATTTTAAAGCTATGCTGATCAGAAAATGAATGATGTCATATTCAAGCTAGCAGAAGCTGCTGTGACAGCCATGTTGCTTTTTAGTTTCTGTTCTTTCTTTCTGCTCCATCATACTATACCTAGTTGAACTGGTCCAACATGGGACATAAAAAGTAGTGGATCTCCTGGAGCATCCTCATCATCTTCTAAAGAAACTGATATTTCACCTGGGAAGGAAAGAGTTTTTAGATGAAAAATGGGTATGGACTAAATTAGCTTAAATTAGTTCAACTGCAAGTGTCCATACACAATGCGATTAACTCTGCAATCTCCAAAATTAATTTGTATTTAAAAGTAGTCATAATGGGACAGAGTTATAAAAAGCAAAATAAAATATTTCAATTCTTACTTCTGAAGCCTGTTTAAAGCGTCTTATCATTTTAAAATTTTTATAGAAACTGACTTGATTTTAGTTGACTCATATATGCTTTTTTGACTCTCAGTATTTCTGGACACTGCACATTAAACGTATAGTTTGAAAATAGATAATGTGAAGTAAGAGACATACAAACAAATGTGGAGTTCACATACAGATTCAGATTTCTTTGCTCATGGATTCAGATTTATATGATTTATATAGCAGTACATTTTTTTCCAAGAAGAGTATTAAGCTCATGAAGAAAACAAGAACCTTCTGCAAATCTGTGGAATTCATTAATGGTACAAGGAAAGTGGGAAAATATTTTGGCTAGAGAACAGACGTATTTGTAATAGGCTTGATTCAACTGTAGCTTTTTACAGTATAGTGTTCCTTCTTTTGATTAAAAAACAAGAAAATAGCAATTGCTCCGTTAGCTTGGAAAGCAGCAGATGTAAGTCAGGTTCTGAATCAGCTTAATTTTCACAGAGGATAGACTGCTTTAAATGGTTCTACAGTAATGTACTGTGTTCAACACACCATGTTCATAGAGGGTTTGAAAAGATGGTTCACTGTATGTTGAGTGATTTACGATCAGTTCCAACCAGGTAGGTCACAAATCAGAGTCTGAATCAGAACTGTATTGCAATAGTTCACAACAAGGAGATTAGCGCAGTTATGGGGAATGTGGTATCCGTGAGCTAGGTGAAATTGAAAACTGCACTTATGTTCATTTGAAAACATTACCCTAAATCCTCCTAACTTTCAGCAAGACGCAGAACAACTCATAGATGCAGTGTCCTGCTCTATTAACTGCTCCCAGCTGCCTGCCTTGTTTCTCTGGCAGAGGCTGCACCCCCCTGCAGCGGGGCTGACCGAAAGAAAGGTGTGCAGTAGTAGCGCAAGGACCAGCATTTTTATCTGCTCAAGAGCTGCAAAGCAAACTGTGGAAAAGGGGGAACAAATTCTTTGTTGGAATGCCACTGAATGTGCCATGGGTACTAAGATGAGCAAGTGTCTTTTTAAGCCTTGATAATGAAAAAAATAGCTACTTTTATTCAGTGCTATTTACACAGTAATATTTAGGAATAAACAATTTATAAATAAGAAAAGTTAGCACAAAAAGGTATTGCCATATTTGATGAAAAAGCAAAAAAACTTCATTTGTCTGTATTGCATACCCTTATTCAATAAAATATGTATATAAAATACTTGTAAAAGATATAATGTGAAAGTCCAGACATGGAAAATGATGTATGAGTGGCATTTTCAAGTCAGCATTTCTGAAGGATCTTTTTGCATTTCTGGTAGCTGTCTAAGCTTGGTACACATGACAATGTTTTTATTGTTGATGCATTTCTGTGCTGACTTGATACTTTTTCTGCATTTGCTGTTGTAAAGCAAAAGGCAGGGAAAGTGGCCAGTATGTTATTATTTAACTATAAAGAGAGAAATATAAGAGAGCATAGATTACTTAACCTGAATTACTTAAACGAGCTTTACGTTTGTTGTTCAAATTCAAAAGCTAAAACTAATTCTCGCTTTAACCTGAAATAATCAAAGCTGGTTAACAAAATGATAAGGTCATTCATTTGGACTCTAACAATACTGTTGTTCAACTTCTGAACGTCAGCTGCAGAACCACAAAGGCCATTTTAGCCTTAGAACTGCACTTTAAAATAGTGAGCTTGGCAGCTCCCCCTTTAATAGGCATTGCAAGCCTGACTGTAATAGGAAACGGACTGGGCCTCTAATATAGTGTTACTTCCCTGACTTGCATGAAGAGAGTTAATGTTCTGACAGCTGTCCTTGCTGTCTCATGTTATGGATGTACCCTGCATAGCTGCAGGATACATTTATATCTTAATATGTTTTCATTGTGGCTGAACTATGGTTGCTGTTGAGAATCTTCACATTAAATTCTTACCGTTAGTCTTGCATTATTGCAGCTAGTTACATTTAATTTCTGTTTATGTACAGAGCAGATTTTTTTTTTAAATGAAGTATCAGAAATGCTTGTGCATTTAACTAAATAGATGTATTTAATTTAGGGTTATGACCTTTAAAACCAGATTGTCCCAATGCTTCATAATGAAGTGCATCTCACCTGGGGTAATTTTTTTTTTTTTAATTCTTGGTTGGCGGTTCACAATTGAAATGAACCTTTTCTGACTTGAACTTGCTAAAGGTCCAAGACAGGTGAGAGCTAGGGTTAACAATTTGGGCAAGCTGAATCAAAACAGGATAATCTAAGGCCAGATCTTCAGGTGATGGGCACTGTCTTAGTTTCATGCAGTCCTCTGAAGTGGGACAGCTTGCATTAGCCAAGGATTTGGTTCTCAGTTCTGCATGCTGAAAAAAATGGAATGCAATTGCAATACACAGTGCAGAGAGCATGTATTAAAATAGTATAAAATTACCATTTTATTTTTAAATGTCTTCAGACAGATTAGCCTCTATTAACGAAGACAAATTGAGGGCAAGCCCCGCAGTTAAGATAAACAATGAAAAGTATGAAAAATGTCAATTTTTCTCAAACCTGCAAAATATCATTGGAGAGAGAGACTTTCAAGAGTAAAAGGGCAAGCCAGATGTCCAGCTCAGATGTCAGTTCCTTTGGCAATCTCCCCTGATGCTAATTTAATGTTTTCTGTTTTCTTAAAAGGATCCACAATCCTCAGTTAATGTAAACCTGTACATACCGTGGGAACAAACTGGGCTCAGCTTTGCATTTCTCTAGATCTCTTTTTAGCCATATTATTTGGATACCCATAATCATTATTGAGGCTTACACTTCTGTGACATTCAGGATATGACTTGGACATTTTGAGTGTCAAATAGCAAATTGTGGCCCTAATGAAACGTTAAACACAGCCTAAAAACATATGTAGAGAGAGTTGAATAAAACCTGATATGCAAATAATTTGGTAAAAATTCCTTCAGAATGAAAACAGTTGTATTTATTTTTTTTGTCTCAGAATATGATGTTTAAAATTGAGATCAACATGATAAGTTTTACTTTACTCAGTGTTTTTAATGTGAAGTTATTAAACATCCCTTTGTTTTTCAAATATTTAAGTGAATTGCTTACATAATAGTTTAATATACATTTAGTCATCATACCTAAGTTTTCGGTTAAAAGCATAAAAATCAATTAAAAATGTATTTACATCATAAATAACAATTTTCAAAGAAATCATCACAGCTTCAACATTTACTTTTTTTTTTCTCCGTTTCTCTCTGAACTGGAGCTCTAAAAAAGCCTTGTATTGCAACTGAATAGCAAAAAAAAAAGTAGCATTTCTTAATTTATGGTTTGAATCCAGTTGCTCAGTGCTCTGACACCAGTGGTCCTGACTGAGCCTTTAATACAAGCAGCTGGTATAATTTTGTTAGAATTAGGCTGTATTTACAGACTTCAACACTGGTGGGTGCTAGCATTTCTCCCCTACGCGAGGAGTGCGTCAAGTCAGTTGCTGTTCTAGCAGTGTTGTTGGGGCTGTGCAACCTCAGCTTCAATTCTAGCAAACTTAGGCTTTGGGGATTTGGTTTTAAAAGCAAAGACAGAAAATAGAAGTGAAAACAGTTTTTACCTTGCGTGTTGTCTGCTGTGGGGCTTGTGTTCAGCTGCGTCTCAGTTGCAGAACACCTGCCGTTCTCTTCTGCTGCTAATTGTGTGACAGGTTCATATCGCAATATGGCATCCAGATCATGAAAAAACTTCATGGTTTTAGTGACATCCCCAGAGTTGTGGGCATATTTAACCGTTCTGTATTCATACTTCAGATTTTTATACTTTGCACGGCACTGTTTCCAATCTCTGCAAACTCCTAACTCCTGTAGCCTTTTAGCAATGTAGATAAATATTCCTTTATTCCTCAGGGTGCCATGGAGCTGCTTTCTGATATTTTTTTCTGACCAGACGCTTAACAAGGCTTTAACCTCCTCTTCAGTCCAATGCTTTCCTGCTCCACTCTCCATGTTGAAAGTGACCTGGAAATGATTCACTATTTCTAGCCAAGATTTCGTCTCCTAGGAAACCAGACGGCTGGTTGTCAGTAAGCTCCACCGAGAGGAAAGGATCTAGTTTTACTGGCTCAAGCTGCCTGAGGGGAGTAACTTGAGAAACTGCCAAATAAGCAGGCTCTGTATTAGAGGCAGACAAATAAAGCAGCTCAGGCACAAGTGATTGCTGAGGAGCGTTAGTATCTGCGTGAAGATAAGGCGACCTTCTGTGACATAGAAAATGAACAGAACAGCATCTAGCTCTATTTGTTTTAGCCCTCGTTGTGCGAAATGCTTTTAAAATTATCGCTGTGTTTTAACGAGGGTAAAGAAAGAGAGCTGCGCTATTTTTGTTCCTTTAAAAAAAAATTCTTGTGCCTGCCCTTTGTTAGGAGCGAACTGCAGGGCCTGAGCTGCGAGGGCTTTGCAGCAGCTTCTGTTTCCCACCAGGGCAACGCTTTGAAATTGTATTGCTGGGACTTCCGAATAAGTTGCAAGTATTTCATACTACAGCACCGTAAGCGACCGTCTACGTACAAAGATACACGTGCTCTTATTTTGAGGTTGACAACCACACATATATACATTTTTAACTCTAATGTTCATTGGTTATTAGTGATTTACTAAAAAGCTTGCATACTTAAAATCACTTATTGGTAAAATTATATAAGCATTTTAGTAATGAAATTGAGCTTAATTTTCTTTCCTTAGCACGGTATTAAAGATATAATCCAATTACCTGAACGGGCCTTTCATACGGGATGCTTGCTTCTCTCTCTTTATCCTATTTGATTTTGTTGATATTTAAAGGAACACTGTCAATATTTAAGCAGAAAATGTCTGAAATACTAAAATTGAACTAAAAGTTGCTGAATGCAGTATATCAGCTCTTTAAGTTTTACTACCAGGCCTTGTGTTTATAGATGGATATCTTAAACCCATTTGTTTGAACTCAGGAAGAATGTCCTACTCCGCAATTTTTTCCTTGAGGATCGTCTGTGCCATTAACTGGGTATATTTGTTCAGATAGGTAGGAGGTTTATTTTGTTTTGTTTTCTGGAAGCAAATGTTCTTTAGAATTTTGCTGCGCATGCCATTGGGGCTGGTGACCAGGACCGGCATTCTAGTCTTGGAGAGCATTTGTAATGGGAATGTTCAGCCGTAGGTTCGACTCTATTAGGTAGGTTTTTGCACCCAATGTTATTGTTGCTTACCCTAAGTAATACCAGTCTAATGTGTGAATAGCATCTTGTTCCAATATTCTAAGGTATTTCCTCTCCTAAGAAAAACATCTGTCCCTTTCTGTCATTATTATAAGAAAAAGTGATCTATTAACTGTGATTTGCACTAAACAATTCAGATATTCTGATGTCAGGTATGTGAAAACTTGGTCTGTGAGCATGCACTGGGAGTTTACCAGTCTACCAAAGCCCATGTGTATGCTATAGGAGTGGTGGAGACTATAGCAACAGTTTTGTTGAAATTAACATTTTGCCTTATTCCAGGGAGACGTTAAAGGAAGATAAAGCAGCCTACGCTGTTACCTATAGAAATTCAGTCTGCAAAACATACATATTTCACGGATGAAGACTGCACTGTAAAACTCGAACAGTTGTGCCGCACTCTCACTGGCCCTGTCACAGCAGTTTGATGGAATCGGGCTGCTTGTTCGGGCATGTGTCTGAATGACAGAGCGTGGAGTCAGGGATCGCTGTGGGGGAGAATGGGGAGCAGCCTGGGAATAACCGTCCTTTGAACTGGTAGAGATCTTCTGTTCCACAGATCTCAACTGTCAGTCCGAGGTTGATTTCCCCCAAGAACAGTATTTCAGTTTTCAGTAACTGAGTACACCAGACTTTCTGTGCTTGGGTTCAGAAACTGAGGTGCCCGATACGAGATTTAGGTGCTCAGTCAAATGCATCGTCAGAGGGTCCGCATGTTTGTATAGGTGTGAATGACTGCTGAAGTGCAGGAGTGAGAAAGCTGCTGCATAGCTGATCAGTGGATCCCTTAGGCAAAAACATCAGTTTCTTAAAAACAAACAAACAAAAACAACAACAGAAACACAGTAGAAGCCCAGACAACTATCATAGTAAAATGGCTTTTCAGATTAAGCATCTGCTGTTACGTTATGCCCACACTGAAAATGGCCTGCGATAAGAGCCTGAGCCAGTGCTTATTAACGGAAAGATTCCCACTGAATTCAGTGGCTTAGGCATAAGCCTTATATGACTGTTTTAAAATAAAGCGTAACATGGGCAAGAAACCACAGTTTTGATTACAAGGCTATAAAAATAAAACAACAAATAAGCTTACTTTAAAATTTCAAGTTGTAAAGAATAGAGGAAAAAACACCCACCCATACTATGTTAAAGTATTTCATTCTAAGCATTTCAGTGCTTTATATTAATTGTGTTTTGTCCCCAGGGGCCAGGAGAGTGCTGGCATTGTGACAAGCGATGGAGAGTCATCCCAGGCATTCAAAGTACACAAGGTAAAATGTAAAAGTATGTTTTGGAGATGCCCAACTGAGATGCTGACAGTTTTTTTTACCTAGGAAACAGAGTAATTGAAAAGACAGAAGTAACATGTTTTTGTGGACTATTCTGATTAGGTCATAGTGACAGTATCTAATTCTGTTACTTCTGCAATTTTTTGCCTTAAGTGCATGGCTAAAACACATAGACCAACATTATTCTGCTGTGTGTACGCATGCACACAGTGGCAGACAAACAGAACTATTCCGATCAGCCTACTGATGTAATAAAAACTACTTACTAAAGTCATCCTGCGCCTAAGGTGTTTACTCTGGAGATTTGGAAGCATTTACTGCTTCTGCTTGTGCAGAAAGAGAAAAGAAGAATCACAGGATCACAGAATCGTTTAGGTTTGAAGGGACCTCTGGAGATCATCTGGTCCAACCGCCCTGCTCAAGCAGGGACCTCTAGAGCACATTGCCCAGGATCACATCCAGACGGGTTTTGAATATCTCCAGGGAAGGAGACTCCACTACCTCTCTGGGCAACCTGTTCCAATGCTCTGTCACCCTCACAGTAAAGATGTTTTTTCTCAGGGTTAGGTGGAACTTCCTGCGTTTCAGTTTATGCTCGTTGCCTCTTGTCCTGTTGCTGGGCACCACGGAGAAGAGGCTGGCCTCATCCTCTTGACCCTCTCCCTTCAGATACTTGTACACATTGATCAGATGCCCCCTCAGTCTTCTCTTCTCCAGACTGAACAGGCCCAGCTCTTGCAGTCTTTCTTCATAGGAGAGGTGCTCCAGTCCCCTGATCATCTTTGTAGCCCTCCGCTGGACTCTCTCCAGCAGCACCATGTCTCTCTTAATTAAGAGACATTCTCTTAAGAGAATAATTGCAGGCAAGCAATACAACCGACAAGCACATGGATCTGTGACTAATTCTTGTGTTAATGAGGATCAAGGAAGTGACAGCTACTTTACCCGTAAGTAAAAATTAACAGAATAAGAGATTGAAGGAAAGTCTGAGAAGGTCACCCAATCTTCCTCAAGCTGACAGAATCCCAGAGGATGCTAAGAGACATAAAATGGCCATAGCTTATGTATGTATTATGCCAAGAAAATCCCCATATGCTCTGGAAATATTTCTGCTCATTCTATATTAAATGGTAGTGAGGTAAAAAAATAATCATCAGGCTGTTTCATCCTGGAAGAGCAGAGGGTTGAAAACAACTATGTCAGCAAACATTATGGAGCGACTCTTGCCTGAGGGTGTGTTCTCTGACCACAACCAGAAGGCAGCTTGTCTTCATGTTTTGAGGTCTGTGAGGTACGACAGACCTACTTCTGTTGAAGGAAGATTAATTAAACGGTTGAAATTAGTCCAAGCCTTAGAACTGCTTTGTTGCAGAAGTATGTGTTTCTGTGTATGACTGTTCAATATCTCATGCAAAATCTTGTCTCCCGAAATGTCATGTTTGTCGCTACTTCAGAAATTTCACCCCTCTTTCTGTGACTTGCAGCCTTTTTTCCCCTCACTTTTAAATGCTGTTTTTCTCACTTCAGCACCGCAGTGTCTCTTCTTCATTCCTGTTCTTGCCTGAGCTTCAGCTTTCCTTAAGGTTTATAGGAAATTCAACTTCCTTTTAAAGCAAGCTGCTGTCTCCGTCCCTTAGTAAAAAGTAAGTCTCAGAATGAACTTCCAGCAGGTGATACAATAGATTGTAGTGATTTCAAATTATTGAGCTGAGATACTTAGCTGTCATGCTAAGAACTTATTTGATTGTTTCATCATATCAGCTTTGATTTTATAAGAGTGGCAGAGTGTGCAATGGCTCCTCTTATCCTTGAAATAAATTTCTTGCCTACAGCACTTTTAAAAACTGTAATAACCACAGTGTAAAAAAGAGCATGTGCAGTGTAATTTATATGATTTGTTTAATCCTAGAAGTGGTGTTGACTTAACAAATGTTTGATTGGTTACTCTGATGAAAATATATTTAGGGCTCTGATTTGTAAACTAGTTCTTAAAAAACGTCAGCAGTTAGGATGCTACTGTATCCCTTTGTCCTCCAGACCTCAGTTGTCTCCTCTTCATAGCAGAGACAACAGAATGGAAAAGGTGCCTGGTTCTCACTGCATCAGTTTACTTACAATCCAGTGCGTTAATGCAACTCGCCTTTTTCAACTGGTTAAACTAATACATATGTTAGAATATGACATGAAGCATCTAGGGCATGGATATATGTTCCTTTCTTCTGATTGTTACCAGCCTTCGACAACGAATTAATAGCCTTTGGCAGCCTTTGATAGCCTTTGACAAAGGATATTAATCCTTTGTTTTAAACTCTCCACGCAGGACTTATCAAAATGTGTCTGTCAGAGCCTTTCAGCTGGATTTGTGCAATAAAGCATTATTGCACTCATAGCTGTATGAGCTTACGATGTAGAAAAACCTAAATCTCTTGTATGGACACAGCACTGCCAGTAGGAGAGAGGCTTTATCTGATTGTTTCACTCTTGCATATGCAGAAGAATCTGTTATGCCACGTTCTGACACGCACCAGGCCTTACATAATAGTGACATAGGATTATCTTCACTGGAAATTGTTTATACTGGCATAACTCGCATCTCTTTTCTCACACCAGCACAATCTAAATCAGGGGAATATTTTAAGCCATATCTTAAAGGTCATGTACTTGAGTAACCAGCTTTGAAGTGACATTGCTTGTTTAAGCTATTACAACACTTAACATGGCTACATCCAGTAATACCAGACCTGCGGATTGTTGGATCTCCCGGCAGTGTAAAGTTTGTCTAAATAAACTAAGAGTACACAATTGCATTTCTGTACATATAATGGTACGTGATACAGACTTTAGGCTAGCTTCATGTCATCTGTGGGAGAACAGATGACATTTGATTTGGCATTGTGACTCTATAGTAGTCACAGAAGAAAATATTCTGAAGCTTGTCTTGCTTTAAGCTGTTTTGGTTGGCCTCGGAGAACAGCTCAACTGTAACACATAGAGTTTCATTACAGGGTTTAAGGGATTTAAAACTTCTAAAAACTCCACAACAGCATTTCCTTAATGCATAGAACAGAAATGTACTCTTGTTTCAAATATATATTTGCTGTTATAATGCACAAAATGTGCTGTTTCTGACTTTTCAGATAGTGCTACTTTTCATCGACTTTTTCTCTCATCCCTAAAACTTCTTTTTCTTCCACTTACCAAGTCCAAACAGTATTTAGTGAGTATTTCCTCCCTTCCTGTCCTATCCCACTATCTTATTATTGTACCTAGAGGTTCTGAGCCATGCATGACTTTCAAGTCTCTTCTGATCTTTGTATCTTCAAAGATGCTAGAAGAGTATTATCACTTCTCATGTGTAATATCACGTGTATCACAATTATCATGTGTGATAGTGAAACTGGGGCTTAGAAGGACGTAAGTATTTACCAGAGGCAGCAGAAGAAGCAAGACGTTGTAGGAGGGTTTAAGAAGACAGTTTTAATTTCTACTCTGTGCAATTTTTCAGACCATTCTTGCTGCGAAATTGACTCCACATAGTGCTTGTTGCCAAAAGGAGCTCCTGATGGCTGACTAAAAAGTTTTGACTCGTTTCTGCTTTACATAGAAGGCAACTTGGATCTGTGAAAAGTTTGTTTTAGGTAAACAAAAAAACTCTGTTGGAAAAGCTTCACTTCTAACACTGGCAGGAATGACAGAGTGGAACTGGTAAACATTATCCTAGATGCAGTACAAAAGTAAATCCAATATTCTGCTAATGGTAAAAGGTATTCTCTGAATAGAATTCTTTCTTGCAACATTTTTCTTCTTCTGTACCTTCCTTTTAACAGTATTTTTTTTTGTGTTTTTAAACAACACTTTGATAGTGTTTTTCAGAGTATGTATTTTTACTCAGGGAATAGATTGTTCAGTGAAAATCCCCAGTAAAAAATGTTTATTGTTTTATTTAAAAACAGGAGTAATGGGATCTGACATATCACTGACACACCTACTTGGCTTGTTTCTTTCTCGTGTCTTTGTGGTTATTTGTCTTTCTCTTAAAGGTGCTTGTGTTACTGCTAGGCCAAAACCAAGGAGCAATGAGGAATTTGCCGGGAAAACAAAACAAAACAAAACAAAACTTTTTGTTTTCTTTTCTTCCTGAAGGGAATGGGTCTTATTAATCACGTGTTCAATGCAGACAGCCTGAAGAAGCTGTACGTGTCAAACCTTGGGATTGGACACACGAGGTACTCCACCTCAGGAATTTCTGAGCTGCAGAACTGCCAGCCTTTTGTCGTAGAAACTCTCCACGGGAAAATTGCTGTGGCACACAATGGTGAACTAACGAATGCTATACGACTTAGGAGAAAGGTTAGTATCTCCGTTGGGAAGCTCTGGCATCATTTATTTCTGAGTGTGAGGCTACAATGAGCAGTAAGTTTGCGATGACTTAATACCACAGCATTTGGAGTAGTGAAAGAGCACCACAGTCAAAACAGAACATTTGCAGGGGGAGAAACCCTGGGGAGGAGAGGCACCTCGCGTTTGTAACTGCCACGGGGGATAACTTGCCAATCCTCTAGATTGATGGTGACATTCCTGTTGATAAAGTGAGAAACTCAGGCATGACAAAGGTCAGCTTGGCTTTGAAGCTCTGCTCATTTGTGGAGGCTATTAGAGGAGCAAATCATATGCTTAGAGTTAGGGGAGATGTCGTAAGGTAACAGAATTGTAATATGAAATGTTACAATGTGTGGAATATTGTCTTTGTTTGTACATCTGGCTTATGAAAGTAATCATGAGCGCTGTTAGGACATAAACACATAAGGAAACCATCAAATACCAGATTTTATAGTGTGTTTGACTGGAAGGGTATGTATCAAAGAACAAAATTAAAACTTAGGAGATGTTTCTTTTTGAAGTCTGTTCTGCAATAAGTTCCACCCAAAAACAAGAGGGCATACGCTTGCATTGAAGCAGGGCAAACGTATGACATGCCCAAAGGAGCCTAGCCTGTCGTTAGTCAGAGCAACAAGTGTATTACAGGATGGGAACAAAGAAACAGGAAATGCAGATAGAGAATGGAAAATCAGTGCTATTTGAAAATGTGATATGATTTCTGAAGATAAATTTAGCAATTATAATGGCTGCAGAATTGAATGGGTCATAACAGCTGGCTAGATACACCGTAGACTCTCTTCTCCCTTAAAAGCATATGTCTACAACAACTGGATTGACCAGATCTAGCAAACCTTACGTAGTGGGATATAAGTTTTTTAGCCCCATTACGCTTCCTTTCATACCTCCTTTTTTTTTGCTTTGTGCTCTGACCACTACTGTGTCCTAATTTTGTATTTTCTATTGTATCTCTTACCTCTCTTGCCAGAATAAGCAGCAGCACAAAGCTGATTAAATGGTCCAAACATGAATTTATGCCCTGAATATTGCTGATATTAATTTTCCTTTGTGTTTTGATGGCGGGTGAAGCAAAGGAATGAGATACAAAGGGAGAAATGTAGTGCCAGACACAGATGACTTTACCAGGTCATTTTACATATTTGATCTGTCAGCAGGTTGATGTATTTCTGCTTTATGATGATCTGATCACCTGCAACACTGAACTGTCATGTTTTAAAACATTTGTTAATGGCACAAAGGTATTGTTAAACTAAAACGGTGCGGTGTTATGTGGGATGTTTTTTATGCTGGTAACACTTTTCTTTTGTTTTTCAAAAGCTTATGAGGCATGGCGTAGGACTATCAACCAGTTCTGACAGTGAATTGATCACCCAGCTGCTGGCTTTCACACCTCCTCTAGAAAATGATGATACTGCAGATTGGGTAGCAAGGTGAGGAGGACAGGTTTCAGAATCAAGAACAGCAATCTAATCTAAGCATGATATGCAGCTTTTAATGCACACGATTATGTTAACCTGTGTCTCATTTCAGAATAAAAAATTTAATGAATGAAACTCCAACTTCATATTCATTGCTAATTATGCATAAAGACATTATCTATGCAGTACGTGATCCGTATGGGAATCGTCCACTCTGCATTGGTCGCCTTATTCCAGTAGGGGACATTAACGGAAAAGGTAAAACACACACACACACACACACACACACACACACAAGCTCTTAATATGTAGTTTATGCCTTAAGCCACTGATATAAATAATTACAGCTGCACTTACTGAGGCAGAAGCAGAATATATGAGGCAAAAGTCAATTTAGATATAATAATTTGTAGGAAGTCTGCAAACATCTTTTCTGCTCCCAGCAAAAGTGAATCCTAGTTCCCTGATGATAGCCAGAATTAGGCAGCCCCACTGTCGTCATATATTTGGTGAGAACTTAACTAAATTCTATTCGCTTAGAGAAGAAAGTAGGGATAAATAAGTCTGGTTTCTTCCTTTCTCCTGTAATAAGATGGCTGAAAAGTGTTGAATTACTAGCAATGTATTTCTGACTTCCAAGCAGTCCCAGTCCCAGTTAGTATGGTAATGGGACACTATAAAACCACTGTATGGGAAGTTCTTTGTGTCTCATTTAGCCTGCAAATCAACACTTTTCCCCAAAGTGAAATTAAAATCTGCTCATTTGTGTAAAAACAGAATAATCCAAAGGCAACTCTTTATATTGGTCAAACTTGGTAGTTTCAACCACAAGAAAAATTTTGTGGATTCTTTCTCTTCATTAAAAAAACAAAAAGATAAAGGTATGTGTTAAAAATCTAAGTTAAGAACAGAAAGATCAAGATCTTTTTAAGCATACAAACACTCCCACCCTCTGTTACGTGATTTAATCTATCCTGTGCCTCTTACAAATCCTCCTTACTGCGATTCAATCCAGTATCCGTTGTAGTTGAAAGGAATTCATCCACTGACACATTTAGCATAAGGACAAGCAAGGAATTTCTTGTCCAGACAGAAGTAATTATTTATAATTAAAGCCACTGAACTAGAATTGGAATTAGAAAAGTTTGAAATAGTAGAATAGTACAGAGATAACAAAGGTAATTTTCTGAATTGTCTCGTCATAAACAAGTGAATATGATGCTGTCACTTTCAGTTCTACCTAGGATAGGTTTATGATGTTTACATACTTTTTGAATAATGTTACAGAAACTTTGGAGTGCTAAACCTTCTAGTTAGAAATGGCAACAATTTTTAATTGTGCACTTGGCAACCTAAACTTTAACAAGCCATTGCTGCAGTAGAGGTGCAATGTGTGTAGTGGTAACGGTAGCAAGAATTGTGGAATCTAACTATAACTGAAATCTTTTATTTCAGGAAAAGATAACAGTGAAACAGAAGGCTGGGTAGTCTCCTCTGAATCCTGTAGCTTTTTATCTATCGGTGCAGAGTAAGTGCCCTGAATCTCAGGTTATCTGAAAGCTCTCCTCAAACAGCAATTAAACATTAAACCTCAAATTGCCAATGATCACGATCTGTAACAATGTCAAAGATATTAAAGATTAGTTTGTTGGGGTGTTTGGAGCTTTTTTGTTAGATTCAGTTGAAGAAGCTAAAGAATTTTGTATTCAGAAGGTAACAGTGAAGAAGACTTAATGGATGCTTCTTCTTTGTTGCGTTATATCTAATTATCTAAACCCATAAAACTTTTTAAAGTTAGCCTAGTTTGTCGTAGAATTGTCATAACACAAAATACTTTAGCTACAGAAAAGGTTGCAGTGGTAGCTGACAGGCTGAACTAACTTTGGCTGTAGAATATGCTGTCTGACAAGCCAGGCTCCTTATGTTAAAAATGTGACAGGCCCTTGAAACTATTTTTATGTGGACAAACACACAGTAGATGGGTGAGATGTCATTAACATTAACCCTCTAACTAAGGGATACTTTCCCTTAAGGCACTAAGGCACTTTCTCTGGACAAAAAGATGTCTTTGGAAGTCTGTGAATGGAAAACAACTGTGAAATAGAACATAATTAAATTAAGAATGATTGTGAGGACGTCTATTTAATTTGCTAATCAGATATTCAAAGAAAATATATTTGGATATTACACTAATAAATAAAATTAGGTTCTCTTTAAGTCAAAAACAGGGCAAAACCTCAGCGAAAACCAGGGCATTAAAACCACAACCACAGAATAAAAAGAAATGTAAAGCAAAACAGGAAATGTTATGATTGCACTTCAGTAATCTTCTCTTCCATTTTATGGTGTTTTATTGTAGGTGTATTGTTCAGTGTTCTTCTGTGGTAGCTTCAGTGTCTGTGTAGGAATTACTAACCGTTGGCAGCAGCCTTATTTATTTATTTCATTAATTTTAAAGACAACTTGTCCTACATATGGCTAAGAATAATCACCTCCTGAAATTTCTTCCAAATCTTGGTCATGAAAAGCTTATCATGGAGGATCATAAGCTGAGGCATTCTGTGGGATTTTTTTAAAAGCGATTTTGTCCTAGAGTTATGCTGTAGCCCATGTACTTCTTGCTCATTCTAGTATTTGACCAGTGAATATGTGCGAAATTACTCACCTCTGATTTATATCCTGAGAATATTTCAATATTACTTAATCTGCAGGTTTAGATCCTGCTGATTTAGAGTAGGTGTAGCCAGTGTTTTTCAGTCACGATGTGTATTATGATTTCCACTGCTGAAGTAAAAGATGCTTTTTCACAAAGCGTTAGCTTTTCTCTTATTGAGAAAGGAAAGAAGGTACTGAATTGAATCAAGGTGGAATATAGAATAGAGATGAAAATTGTTAGAATAGCCACCTGAAGACTCATTAAAGGATCTAGAAAAATGTTTAATAACATCTGATATATTTCCATATTTCTTCAGACATGAGAATTGGAATGTACATTTCTGGTCAGTTTTACTTCATTTGACGTTAGCTGCCTGTCACCACTAGGCAGCTGTTTCTCTAGCTATTGGCTTCTGTGGCAGTTTTTTTTTTACTACTATCTTTATTTTAGATCATGGTATTATATTGCTTTTATGATTATTAGTTTCCATAGAAAAGTGGCTCTAATATTGATCCAGGACTAAATGATTTAAGTATATTGAATCTCAATTAAGCTTGTACTAGACTGCATCTCACATAAAAGAAGAAAACCTCAATTAACTGGTACTAGGAGTAGCAATTTACTGCTTTCAGGTATTAATTCAGACCTTTTAGTAATGGTCCCTTGCCTTGGTGCGTAGGTCAAATCCTAAGACAGAAGCAAACTGGCATATTAGGATGTTCATAAACATTTTTCCTTTCAAATGCATCTACTATCATTCAGGTTAAGGACATTTCTAAATGCTACGTGTGTCTCTTTCCAGGTACTATCGTGAGGTCCTTCCTGGTGAGATAGTGAAAATATCCAGATATGAGGTCCAAACACTGGACGTTGTACCAAGACCTGAAGGAGATCCATCAGCATTCTGCATCTTTGAATACGTTTATTTTGCAAGACCAGACAGTATCTTTGAAGGTAAAAAGCTGTGAGGTACAAAGCCCCTCCCTACATAATGGTAGAACATATCCTGGAGAACAAGGAAAGGATTCTCTGGAAAGGATCTGGGATTACAGTAGGGTAACACTGAATGAGAGCTTCCAGAGCAGGGCTTCGAGAGAAAGGGTTGGTGCAGTTCTTGGGGACATAACACTCAGGAGGAGCATGTAACATCATCTTCCTGTTCCTGCCTGTGTATACGGCCCTAGTGAAGCCTGCCTGCATGGTCTTATGGAAAGGATGAAAAGAAGACCCACAAAGATTATTCAGGGTAGAGGAAATATCCCTTAAAATTGAGAGACTTTAGAAACTTTTATTTGTTTTTGAAACTTTTGAAAAATTGAACCTATGAAACAGAATTTGCAAAACAGCTTTACCTTGGTGTTTTCTTTGCAAGAAAGCATTATTTCAGGAAGACGCTTTTGCTACAACTTGTGCATTATCCATTATTCATGCATTACCTAAGTACTTTGGACATCAGTGTAATGTTTTTATTCTTACTTCAGTAAAAGCTGTCAAAAATTGTCCTAGTGACGAGGTATTAGCCAGGACTCCCATACATAACAAACAAGCTCCTCCTTGCTTTCTATGGACATGTTTCTATTGATGCCATACAGTTCCCCATCAAAGCCAGTTTCCCCCAGATCCCTTTATCTTTCCTGAGTTTCTTACCCTTCTGTGCTCTCACTTTTGTCTCATGTTACTTATTACTGTTGCTGTATGCTTTGCCACACCTCACCTCACCACAGCACCTTCATTTCCCTCCCACGTTGCAAAACTTTTAAGATCTTAAAAGCTTCTGAGGCCTCCTACCCCTTTACCAAATTTGTGGTGAAGTTGGCAATTGATTTGAAGTGCATAAGTGGGCAGAAGCAGATGGGATGATTGCACAAGCCTTGTCTGCTTAAGAAACCAACCTATGAATAGAATACGCACATTACGAACATGCCTGCAACTTGCCACAGAGATTTATACAGCAAACCAAAAGGAAATCTGAATTATCTGTGGCGAGGACAAATATTTCTGTTTCTTGCTGTTCTTAGGTCAGATGGTGTATTCAGTCAGGAGAAGATGTGGTCAACAACTTGCGGTTGAAGCACCTGTGGAAGCAGACCTGGTCAGCACAGTTCCAGAGTCTGCAACCCCAGCAGCTCTTGGTTATGCTCAAAAGGTATACCTTGTTGACTTTTATATTTTTTCAAGTATATTTAAACTTAACTCTTTATGTAAGCATATTAATGGGATTTTATGGCATGGCCCAGTAGTGTGTTGTCTTGTCAAAAGTTTTGTATTCCCATTGAGTCATCGGCATTGGTATTTTTTCTCTTTATTCCACTGTATTAAGGTATTTAAAAACTTTTCAATGTTTTTTGGTTACTGTGAAGTTATACCAAGTCCTAAAAGTTACTTTAAAAAACAGCAACTGAGAATAACCAGTTACAGGTAATAATTCAATTTAACTGTCTCCTGTTTATAGTGCGGATTACCTTATGTTGAAGTCCTCTGTAAAAATCGATATGTAGGAAGAACTTTTATCCAGCCAAATATGAGATTAAGGCAGCTTGGTGTTGCAAAAAAGTTTGGAGTTCTGTCTGACAATTTTAAAGGCAAGCGAGTTGTTATCATTGATGATTCAATTGTGAGAGGCAATACCATTTCACCCATAATAAAGCTACTGAGGGAATCTGGAGCTAAAGAGGTAGGTTCACTTTCAGTCACTACAATAGATACAAATACAAGATTGTTGGGAGGGCGAAGCACAAGTTTCTGTCTTCATTTGCACCATGCGTTTCTTCTTATTTCAAAGATCGAGTATGCAAAAATAATGATTAGTGTGTGTTTATGATGATGACCAAGTTGAAAAGTTTCTCTTGTATGACTTTGATTTTTGGGAGATGAAGGAGAGGGGAATAGGTCTTCACTTACAAAGCACTATCTGACAAAGAGAATGGAAAACTGATTAAGTAAGATTACAAAATCTACTAGCAGTGCTGTATTCCTGCCGTATGCATGACTTGTGGAACTGTCATAACTACAACTGCTTACTGACGTAAACAGCCATTTGCTCTAATCTTCCAGAACACCATTGTTCTCTTTTAATTGATTCATATTTGAAACAGAATGTGTAAGTCTGTGTCACTGGAGCAAAAATGTTCCTGTTTGGCTTTGTAAACTGGAAGCGTGTGCAGCAAGGATTGAAGGCCAAAGAAGAAAAGCAAAATCAGAATGGGACTTTTAAATAATATTAGGAAATATTGTAAACATTAATTCTAAAAATGCCTTTATCTCTCTTAATGTTTTGACATCTGAAAAGAACTTTATCGTACCTTTAGCCCTTCCATGACTTCTAAGTAGTGGTTTTTTTTCTTCATGATTTTTTGCAGAACTGGTATGTTTCTATCTGCTGTTGTGTTATGATCTGCTGACTTTTGCCTCACAGCAGTCTCTTTTTAAACTGTATCTTTATTCAGGTGCATATCCGTGTGGCTTCACCTCCCATAAGATTTCCTTGTTACATGGGAATAAACATTCCAACAAAGGAAGAACTCATTGCCAACAGACCTGAATTTCACGACCTTGCAAACTATATAGGTAAATTCTATTTTTCTGACAGTTTTCACCTGTCAGAAGTAATTTATTGTGTACATCAAAATAAAGCACAACACATCAAAGCTACAGTGGCAAAACTCATGAAAATATCGTAAACTTAATATATTAAATCTCTGCAGTGTGTGTTCCCTATGGCTCATACCAATTTAGCTACATATTTTTTTAAAAAAACTGTTCGTGGATTATACTTCTCGGAATAATAAAAAGCATTAGAATAATTGTTTAAACATAGGTTACAAATAAAGTTTGACAATACAACCTTCTGATCCTTGGGGAGTTTCCCAGAAGATTTACAATGATAAGCTATTGTAGGCAAAATATCAGGAATCAAAGTGGTGAAAAATCTGTCTTATAATGGAAAGCTAATTGTAGTTTCAGGTTTAAGATATGCACAATAGAATATTCTCTCTCAGTTTGTGAGCACCTAATGATTTTTCCACAAATTCAGAATTTATGTAAGTAATTTTAGTGGCATTGCATGATATTTCACTTTGAAAGAAATAAAATGTGAAACTAGCAAAAGAATATTAAATACATATTTGAATCTTTAGAATGAGTTGCGCTTGCAGCAGAAAAAAAGAAGAATCCACAGCTTATGTTGCTTGTGATGTGATAAATAATATGTTCTTTACCAGGATATCAGAAATAGAAGGCATGAGATGGTTTGTAAGTAAGCAGATCTACTATATGCCATACTATTCTTGAAAAAATATTTTAAAAAATGGTGCAAGAATATAGCTGAGGTTGAAGACTATCAGCTCTGATTTCTTTTGTAAATACTTCCTCTCACTTTCTAATCTTTCAATGAGTTCATATCTTTTTGTAGATATGAACTTTTCCCCAGAACGATCATCATGATGGCACATTGAAATATTTCAGGTTTGTAGGATTTCAGTTTTAAGAACTACTCACAAAATAATTAGTAGAAAATAGAAAAGTAATAGATAGAAAAGTAATAAAGTGAAAAGACTATCCAACTCTCCTATTGCTAGAATATACACAGGAACCGGATACTTTATTTTTATAATGTAACAGTCTTCCCCTCCCCCAAGTAACCAGTAGTCCTAGGTGTTCTGTTTCGGTAGCAATACCCAAGCATACATCTTTTTCCAGACTTGAAATAAAATGCAACTGTGAAAACTACAGGAGGTTCAGAGAGTCTTCATACACACTCTGGATTTTGTTTCCATTTTTACATACTGTAAAAATGGCATAAAAGTTCCCAACTCAGAATCTTCTATCCAGATTTGAGGGAGGCTGCTTCCCTGTACAAAGAACCTGAGAAGGTTCCTCCTTAGGAATGGCTATGGAGGATCCTCTTGCACCTCTCCTGGGGAGCTTACATGCTTGACTGGCTCTCTCAAATGCCTGTATACCAATGCGCGCAGCATGGGGAATAAGCAGGAAGAGTTAGAGATCTGGGTGCAGTCACAGGACCATGATCTCATTGCAGTGACAGAGACATGGTGGGATAGTTCACATGACTGGGATGCTGTCATGGATGGCTATGTGCTTTCTAGGAAAGACAGGCCAGGAAGGCGAGGTGGTGGAGTGGCTCTTTATGTGAGGGAGCAACTAGAATGTGTGGAGCTCTGCCTCGGGGTGGATGAAGAGCAAGTTGAGAGCCTATGGGTAAGGATTAAAGGGCAGGCTAACACGGGTGACACTGTTGTAGGGGTTTACTACGGGCCACCTGATCAGGAAGAAGTCGTCGATGAGGCCTTCTACCGACAGCTGGAAGCAGCCTCACGATCACAGGCCCTGGTTCTCATGGGAGA